GGGCTTGGCGTGGTGCTGGGGGGCGGGGGCTTGGTGCGGCGCTTGGAGGGGGGCGCAGCCCTTGGAGGGGGCAGGGCTTCGGGCGGCGTGGTACTCGGAGGGGGGGATTTCGGCGGCGCTGGGGCGGGGGTATGGCGGTGCGGCGCTCGCGGGGGTGGGCGGCCCCCTCTTTTTTGCCTGGGGCGGCAAGAAAGTTAGAGCCGGCCCTGATCTGCACTGAGGCATTTGCTCTTGAAGGGCTCTGTCATTGCTGCTACCTTGGCTCCTGGAGACAGCAACACCATGAAAAGCCCTTGGCGAGGCTATGTCTTTCTGTGGAGCCACTCAGCTCCAACAACTGCTGCCTCGGCTCCCTGCCATACTGGGGTAGCACTGCTATGGGAGCAACTGTCTCTGCGCTGAGGCTTTGTGTACCAACGGCTCCCCATAGCTCTGCAGCTTAATAGACAGAAGATGCCAGCACTAGGACAGACCTTCCATCAGTGATGCCTCAGCACAGAAGCATTGAATTCCCTCTGCCGCAGGCCATCTGCATATCTGTGATCCCCTCACAACCTCATGTCACCCAGCCACCAAGGGGGTGGGTAGCCATGGGGTAGGGAATATGGAGAATGACTGTATTGGTGGAGAGACATGGAAGTGAGATGGCCCAAGGGAGATACTAAGAGTGAACAGAGATGTGGCAGGGCACAAATCATCAGGGATGTGGAGGGCAGAAGGATCCATGTATGACAAGGTCAGGCCAGATGCCAGCTCTTGCCCAGGCTGCAGGCATTAGCTAAGAACTGACAAACTCATAAATGGAGACCAGACCAGTTGACTTGTATGTTAGTTTTGCTCAAAATAGGTATTAGTCTTGCCAGTATTTAGTGTTTAGATGCTATGAAATGCTTGTAAGTTGCTGCAGGCATTAATTTCACTTGTCATGTCAGTATTCCAGGCTATAAGAAGATATGAACATTTTGCTTTATAACTTTGAAAATGTTTGCTCTGAACTTGTGAACCCAGGCACAGGAATCATCCCCCTGCCTGTCCAGAAGGACTATCAAAATCAGATGGGCTATCAAGGAACACCGCTATTCAAAGGATTGATTAATGGCCCTATCACACCTGAGAAATACTAGATCCAAGGAATCTTGTTCTGCGGACTTGGAAGCTGAATGAAGGAAATCAAACAAAGACACAGGAAAATTTCCATCTCTCTTCACTGTTTTAACTTTGACAGGGCTAGAGACACCAAACTGAAGCCAGAGTTCCCCAGGGGTTATTTCTTGGGTCCACCCTGAAAGACACTTTGAATTGACAGATCACTACAACTCTGTCACTTGTAGGATTTAGATGGTAACTCATTTGTGTGTATATGTTTGCTTGCTTTAACCTGTAAATAACTCTTATTTCTTTTTTGCTAGTTAATAAATCTGTAGATAGCTTATTATAGGATTGGCTACAGGCGTTGTCTTTGGTATAAGATCTAGGGCACCAGCTGATCTGGGGTAAGTGACTGGTCTCTTGGGACTGGAAGCAACCTGAATATTGTGCAACTTTTGGTGTTAGTGACCATGTATCACTAAGTCCAGTTTGTCTGGGTGGCAAGATAGACTAGAGAGTCTATGGGGACGGTCTGTGATTTCCAAGGTGAGACTGTTCTAGTGATCCAGGAGTTCACATTTGTTACTGGCTTGGTGAAATCTAATAATAGAACATACCACCAGACTGGCGTGTCTGCCCTGCTTTTGACAGTCTGCCCTGAGGTAGGCACTCATGGTCATGAGCTGTTCCAGACAGCATGACACCATGTTCCTTATGTCCATCCTCCCCAGTCTCCAGGGGAGGTCTTTACTGTCCTATGCAGTAGTCCTGATCTGACAACCCTGTTGTTGTCCATCAGACTGTGACTCCCCTTCAGTGGGCCTCACTAGAGAGACAAGGTGCCTTCAGAGTACAGCTGTGAGGTCTGCTGAGATACCATCAGCTACACACTTCCATGACCCATTGTGCTCCTGCCTGCCCCTGCTATGGAGTAAAAATGTACATTCTGTCACCTGTTCTGAGCAGGTGCATCTTGTGAGGGTCAAAATTGAAACACAGAGTAGGAAATGGTTTGATCTGACTCTGAACGAGTCTAACCCAAAGCACCAAAAGTCAGGCTAATTGAAGTGACTGCCTAAAATTGCCCTAGCTGCATTAGTTTGGCCTTTTCCTACATTTGTGGGACTTTCTGCCGATTATCTCAATATCTTTACTGTAGCAGAGTGCGAGTTGTAGTATCCTGGTCACTGAGGTTGCTGCAGCACAGAGAAGGCTGGAGGCTTAACTGGAATCAACCAACCTGTTACTGGAGGGGATTAGTAACATTTGGTAGCAACTGTTGGGCTAATGAGTTAATTGGCTTAGTAAAGGGGGGCTATATAACTGTGAAGAGGGGGTGGAGGAAGATAAAAGTTCTGTGAAAAGCCCCTCCTGCTGTACACCTGTGCTGTAATCCTGCCCCAGTTTGAAATCCGGGATTAAAGATGCACTTGATGAAAAAGAAACTGACTTAAAAATGGGTTAGACAGTGCTGCTCCCAGGGTAGCTTGAGAGGAGCCCTGTGACATGTACGATCAGTTAAATGAAATTTATTCAAGTGAATTTATACCTGATGCGTATTTGCCAACATTTGACATCTATAAAAAGGGACATTTTGGGAGGAAAACAGGGATATCTTTGAACTCTATTTTAATACATTGGAATATGAAGTTGAGAAGTAAAATAAAATCATAAATATTCTCTCTTTTAAAAATAGGGATTTCCTCTTTAATGGCCCAATCTTGCATTCATTATACATCCAAAACTTCCACCAACTTCACATGGGAGTTAGGGTGCATGAACTATGCAAGGCCAAGCTCTTAATAGGGGCTTATTGTATGTAGAAGTGAATTGAAAAAGAGAACTCACGTTGGGTTGCACAGTTTGACATTGTGGTGCACATGTTTCAAAGGAGTATCTATAAGAGATTGCTGTTCTTTACAAAGGTCACTGTAAAATACCTTTCTCTCTTAGTTCTTGCTTCAGAAACCCATTCCTGGCCTGTCTGCTGTCCTCCTGAACTTTGTTAATGAAGCAAAGTTCTGTCGGGTTATATCTCCGACCTTCAGACTTTATTATCTGGAAAACCATAAAACTTTATCCAAGGAAGATATAAAAAGGACAGTTTTAACACATTCTCTCTGCAGAACTTGCTTCCAGGCTCAGCATTTGATCTACCTTTGGGTTTGAGCTCTTAGCCAGCATGCCTGCCGATTACAATGGAACATGGGAAATGGAATCCAATGAAAACTTCGACAGTTACATGGTTGCCTTAGGTAAATGAAAAAAATACAATATTGGGACAAGAGCTTTTATTTATCAATCATGCCTATTTAAAAAAAAACCTAATAGTAGAGCAGTCATTCCTTTTATATGTTTTGGGGATAAGAGTTTCTGGCAGTAATATTAAAATATCATACACTTGCTATAATATGTCTAGACAAACTTGAGTGACTTCTCGAGCAAGTAACAGGATACTCCATAGCAGTGGAGCAAAAACAGTTAGCCTTTAGCATTTAATAAAACTGTAACTGAACTAGCAGGTATAGTAAAAAGTTTACATAGTAATGAACGTTCTAACAATCTTTATGGAAGCATATTTCCACAGCAAGAAAATTAAAGTTATTAACAAATAGAATTCTTATTTAGATATTAAAAGAAATTGAGAGTTAATTTAGTGCAAGCAGCATATTAAGAGAGCTGGAAATGTGAATGGAGACCAAGCTCCTGCTAATGCCAATTTCACTCTATTTTCTCCACATTAGTGTCTTCAATGATTATAATGACAGTGTAAAAGTTTTACAAGGGATAATTGTCTTCTGTTGGTTTGAGGGCCATTTTATATTTGACCTTTTCAATACAAATGTAATTTCAAATGTTTTAGTTTGCATGCAGATAAAACTATCTTAACCCTATAGGACACTATGGATACCTAAGGGGTCTGACTCATGCGAGTCTCATGATATTTAGTATTTTTCTTAAAGTCTCAGCTACTGGATCTGAGAATCTGAGCTTTCATTTTGGGGGGGAGTTATGTTCCTAGCCCTCATGGTTGCAGACGGCAGCTTGAAAATGTGAAATGAGAGCACCTTAGAGGCTCAGAAACCAGGAGGCAGATAAAAAGAGCCCAACATTTATTATTATTTTAAAATCATGATTATAGGCCAATCTCATTATTTGGAGTGGGTAGACGCATGACTTTTGAGTGCTGGATACTGGCAAAACTACATGAGGGATGGAAAATCCTTTCCACTCAACTCAAAAGTGATCTCTGAACAAAATAAATGTACTGTCAGGAAAAGCAGTTAAGAGAACTCTAATATTGTTGTCATACTTGGTGACTGACATTCTCTTCATTGTTTAAGCATCCTTCTTCCTTATAGGCTAGTCTAGGCATGCACTTGAAGAGTGTCAGACTCTCTACCAACAGGACTGAGAGTTTTACTAGATCTTTTAATCTGGTTGTAATGTCACTCAACACTCTGTTCCCTTCTCTCCTAGACTTTCCCTTGGGTATCATCTGCTAATATTGTTGTATTGATTTTGTCAGTTGGGTCATAACTGCTCATATTTACTCTTCTTAAAAACTTTTACCAAGAAGGCCTGCAATTGCTAGTAATATTATTAATATCTCTCTTTAGATTGGCACTTCCCCTCTGAAAATTAGACTGAGATATTCATTGAAATTCAATAGGCGCTTGGTGCTTCACTCTCATAGGATGTGTATTATTTCATCTTTAAACATTCTAATCCCGATCCTGCTGCAATAAGTAGTGGGCTTCCCAATTCTCTGCTTCCTTTTGTATCATAACTAATAGCATGCACTGCACTTGAGCAGTGCTTTTGTTACATCTCCGCTCCATCCTCAGGATTGTTTGTTAGCAATGAGAACAGGATACCTGACTGAAACCATCCTAAAATGATCTTACTGGATTTCTCCGGGATGTTTGACACATTAGACTATAAAATAAAGGGCTTGATTCAGCCCCTGGGTCCCTCAGGTGGAAATAGGGCCACGGAACCCAGCACTGAGAAGTCCGCTTGAAGAAGGATTGGCAGAAGCTTAAGCCACCCACAATTCCTGATATGCTGGGTGGCTCAGAAGTGATTGGTGCAGTACAGTGAGACAGGCGGGTTCATTGCATCTCCTGTACTGCCTCCACTGGAGATGTGCCTACTGAACCTCCTGACGGAGCTTAAAACTAGCCTCCCCATAAGAAACTTAATGTGAGATTGTGGAGTGAGAGCCATTGGCTTTGGCCCTTTGTTTTGTGGGGGGTTTGAACATGTTTTATGTACTGCACTTCAGTGCTAGTGAAAAATGCCTCAGAGAATTTGCAACAAAGTAGTATCTAGATGTGTATTTCTATGTGTGGTACTGAGAATTTGTCGCTCACTGACTGTGTTATCAATGAAAAAGAAATGACATGGAAATGGTGAAAAGAGATTTTTCTGCTCTGTTTCTCCCGATTTTACATTTGGTTGATATTCTAAGAATTAAGGAGTTCAGATCCAAAGCACAATGAAGCTGAACTTTTTGAGGTTCATTCATCCTTATAATTGCTACATATGCATTCCTATACCTTAATTAACAAATCGTTTTGCCCTTTAAACCAGAAACTTTAACTTTTTCATAAGCACATTAAAGTATTTCAATCTAATCTAATAGAACCATATTTCATCTTTATTGCTTGTATTGTTCAAAATGTGTTGTGTTCAAAATGTGTTTAATAAAACCTCCCCTGATTTTCTGCAGTAGTACAAGACTAATATATTAGTCAGAAATAGCATTCCTTTGGAAAATTAGACTTCTTTCCTCGGAGAGACCTAAATTTTGTTACCTGGCTATAAATCAGACCCAGAGATGCCTTTAATCCACAGCAACAGATAAAATATACTTGAATATGAACATTATTTCCTATGTTAAAGTAACATTTTTTTGTTTTGTTTTCCAGCCAGTCCTTTCACTCAATTAGATTAGTGCCTTACCAGTAGCATAATGAATCCACCAAAAGAAAATGGGTTCCATTTGTACAAGGTTTTGCCGAGACGAAAATGATTAATTTGTATGTGAAAAAGCTCAAAGATGGTTAACAAGCCACACTATTTTTCAATCTCTGGGAGAAACATGTTAGATTATTTCATTTGCATATAGCACCATAACAAGATTCATTGCCAAATGGTCAAATATTTATTGTACCTGGCAATGAAGCTGGCATTAGGTGTATTGCCTAGGGTAGACTGTGTCATGATGGTAATATATTTGAAATATCTTTCAGGGCATTCAGTTGCAAGTAGTATATGTTAGTTTTCATCATGAACAGAGTACGGAATGGTAAAGAGAATCAGGCACAAAATGCTGACTGAATATTAAAGAGGGCATTGTCAAATGCAGTACTCTTTGGCTATTTGTCTTTTTGTTTTTTAACTTTCCATCTTTTACCCATATGGAAGCTGCAAAATAATCCTTTTCCATCCATTCTTTTCCTGTAAAGTCTGCCCAACTTTTATTTTTGTTTCTAACATTCTTTCCTAGGGACAATCAGTGAATATAGCTCTTATTTGTTTACTTATTTATATACAAGCATCATTTCTGCAAAGGATTTGCTAATTAATATGATTCTGATTCAAATTACTTTACAAAAAGGGGGAAAATGGCTTTTACAGATGGCTGTTAAATCACACGCAGTATAGTCCCAGTGTCAATATACATGCAATACAGTTCCACAGATTACACGCAGTCCCAAACAATAATCTGTGATTATGGTGAAATAAAAGCTACATGCCAAAATTCACTGGATCAGACATGCACATCTACTGCACTCGTTCTGAGATCCTTCTATAGATATGAGTAGACCTGGTCAAAAGCAGTATTGGGGGAGGGGGCATATTGTTTTCTTGAAAATTTTCACCAAAAACAATGGAAATTTTATTTTTTCCAAAAACATGAATACGGAAAATCTTGGGGATTTTCAGTTTTTCTTCCACTTCACGCCTCCACATCACCCCTCATTTTGTCACTGAGAAAAGGAGAGGGGTATATGACGGTGGAAAAATACCCAAAACTGAAGGGGAAAAAAAAGGGGGGGGTCATCAAAAAAAATTAGAACACTTTTTGAAAAAACATAAACATTCCTCAATTTTTTTATTTTTTTAAAAAAGATCTTTTTTGTAATTTTAAAAAAAAGTTTCAAATGAGAAATGTCAGCCAATTCTAGAAGAGAGCTACTCCACCTTCTTTTACCTGTAAGTGAGAGGATTAAATGTGCAAATGCTTTTCATAGTGTAGTTTTCATAGTTTTGGTGAATATATAAAACTATCTTTTGCATCTTTGTACCAGAAGTTGGAATTTGGCTAGGTATATCATACACTTATGTTTTGTTTGTTTGTTGATAGGCATTGATTTTGCCACTCGTAAGATTGCAGGACACTTGAAACAAACGAAGGAAATTATTCAAGATGGAGACAATTTTAAGACAAAAACACTGAGCACTTTCAGAAACTATGAACTGAATTATACTGTGGGAGTGGAGTTTGAAGAACATACCAAGGGGCTTGACAACCGAGTTGTGCAGGTATACACTTAGTATTTGATTTCCATGTACACTGTGGTTAAAAACAGGGTAAGCAGTCTGTAAATTTCCTGACTTAAAAATAATGGAAAGCAATTTACAGATATTAGAGAATGTTTGTCTATAAAGTGCAGGTAATTTGCATTTCAAGACAGTTTTGTCTTTCACATTGCAAATATTTATTTTATAGGCAAACCAGGAAGGTTTCTCAGATTTGTAAGGGCAATAACGAATTACATTTTTTCTTGCAAGGAATTTTTCCTGTCTTTCTATGATAAACCTCTTTGTAGTGTTCTATATTTAAAAGTAAAGAAAGGAAGTATATTTTGGCACATATAATTTAGCTGCTGCTGAAATTTCACTTTAAAACTACTAAGGCTTTTTTCCCCTCCACATTATTTTAAAATTGCCAGTTCTATCTGAGTCTTTTCTTGGAAGCCTTCCACACGTGGAATTCCCATGGAAGTTAGTGGGAGTTCCACGAAAAGACCTCTTAAGGGATCAGGGCCTGAACCATTTGGTGTATTCATTTACTGCACACACCTTTGCTTTCCTTTTATGAATACCACCCTCAGTTTTATTTTCCTAACATCCCCTGAAAACATGTAATGGAGAATTTCAACAATGCAAAGGGCATCCAGGCATCCAACTCCCATTGAAACGCCTCTTTGAGCCTTTGAAAACCTGCCCGAAAGAGCCACTTGCCTTTCTTTCTGTTATCATTTGTTGATCCTATCCATGCCAACACTTCAGCTGGTAACCAGTTCTACCCTCTTCCTCAGCTCTTGGCTAACTTGCTCGTCTCTGACCTTACACCCACTTCTGCGTCATCAACTTATCCCAGTAAACAACTTTCATCTCTGAACTCGGATCCTGTTGTCAGCCTCTGGAGAGATGGTCACACAGCTCAAAGCTCACTGACAGCAAGACCCATTTTGTCTCATTAGTCCTCACAAAGGAAGTAGGCAGCATATAGAGATGAATCCTGTCCTTATAGAGCATATAGAGATGAATCCTGGAATCCCACAGCGGAGCTGCATGGGTTTAACTGAAGGCATTGTTTGACCCATAGGCCTGCTTTTGTTCTCACTTACCCCAGTTTCACTTGAGGTAGCTCTTCTGGAGTTACTTCTGATTCACAACAGTGTAAGTCAGAGAATAATCAGGCTTATAATGTCCTTTCTAGGCTTCCGAATCCTCTGCTTTAACCTCTATCACTTCTTCCCAGCCCTTTCTTCAGGGAGCATGGTGATGTACTCAACAGCTTTACTGCTTTAAACCAATGCACACAAGTCTCCACTGATCCATCTATAACATGATCTATCTATAGCCTTCCCCACTCTCCTTCCCCTGTGTCAAAGCCATCACCAATCTCATCTGTGAACAAAATTGTCTTCACTGAACTCTCTGGAACCTTATTTTTCTCTTCTTATTTCACAACCCTTATGTTGGGACAAGTTGGACTTCCTTGTTGCAACATTATAATTCCACCTGATCTCTTATCTAAATGATTGCTACCCGATATCATTTCCCCGCACCCCCATATAAATTGTTGTGTAGGGGAGCAAACTTTACTGCTAGTCTTAGGTGACATTATCTTGATCCTGGCTGTACTTCTGTGCTGTAATTTTAGCCATTTCTTAATCATTTCCTGTTTTCACAAATGATGTTCCATTTTCACGATTTCCCTAAATCCCTCTCTCAACTTTAGAGAGTCCGGAATGCTGTGGATGTGCCATTCTCTCTCTTTCCCTCAATCTAGAGATTGTGGAGAGTCACGTTCACTGGTTTCCTATTAGTCTTCAGTTCTAATTCAAAATTGCCCTTGAGGTTTTCAGAACTCTCCCTCTGGATTTATTTCCTCTTCCCTCTCCAACTACACCTCTACCCCGATATAAGGTGACCCGATATAACACGAATTCGGATATAACGCGGTAGAGCAGCACTCCGTGGGGCGGGGCCGCGCACTCCGGTGGATCAAAGCAAGTTCGATATAACGCGGTTTAACCTATAACGTGGTAAGATTTTTTTGGCTCCCGAGGACAGCGTTATATCGAGGTAGCGGTGTACATGCACCTACAGCCACAACACTTTCCACTTCTCCCGTTTTGGCTTGTCTCTATCCCTTCTGCGCTGTGGGAGATGGAGGGGGCTTAGGTCCTTCATTCACTCCTGCTTCTGGTGCCCATTCTACCTGGAACTCATTTATTATTTATTTGTATAATCCTAGTACCTAGGAGCCCCAGGCATGAACCAGGACCCCATTGTGTTAGGTGATGTACAGAACAACAAAACTGTCCCTGCCCTAAAGAGCCTATACTCTAAATATAAGACATTAGATTGTTTCCTTGTACACCCCCCTCAATGGGGCAATATTTGTCAGCACGATAGGGAGTGGTACCAGCAGCCAAGCCATGCCTCCATTTTCACCCTTTAATGAAATACTCGGTTTAAATTTCATTGTGAAAACATATGACTGCTCTTGCTTTAAAGCTCTTGGTTACAGTGCCTGAAGGATGCTATAAAATAAACTATAACTGTATTGTATCAAGTGTCATTTACATACTTTTTCTCTGTCTGTCTGTTTTATGTACAGACCGAGGCAGTGTTAATGCTGCACTAGTCACTATGATCCATAGCGCTCCAGTTATTGCACTTTATAATCTTTTTTTATTAATGCTTTCACATAGCAAGAAAAGAAAAATACAGTTTTCATATTCAGTGCGATTCTATAAACAGCATCAGAAATTCAATTAACTCATTGCCCTTCCTTTGCACACATACAGTCCGTATCACTGTATCAGAAGAAATAATTGCAAAGTGATAACATAAAGCACTTTATACTAAGGGGCATTTGGGCCACTACTGTCTTCACACAAGCAGTTATGCTACTTCATTGTTAGTTCTGGTGTGTTTGGATGTTTTCCAAAATCCCTAGTTAACTTATTGGATTTAATCTTTTGATCCCTGCAGACGCTAGTGAATTGGGATGGTGATAAATTAGTATGTGTCCAGAAGGGGGAAAAGAAAAACAGAGGCTGGACACACTGGATTGAAGGAGATAGACTGCATTTGGTAAGAGCTGACTTTCATGGCTATAGCATGTAACAGAGACTGTGGAATAGTATAGTTACTATAGTTCCAAGGATTTTTCTTATTCATTTTACTCACACAGCTCTGATACCCTCTCTACCAGAACCCCTGCTGTTTAATTTGTCTCCACCTGCTTCCCAATTAAGTCACAAACCTACAGTGACTTTTGGTCCAGCTCACTGCACTGCAGCCCTTAACCCTTCCAGTTACATAGCACATCAATTCCTTCTACATTTTGAGTAAACACTAAAAATAAACCACAGTGTTTACGTGCTGAATAAAACCTGTAAGAACAATATTTTTGTCGTTCCAAAAAATGAGTTCTAGCGAGAACTATGTAGTTATCCAGATCAGAAAAACACTCCCAGAATATACAGGGAAACCTAGCAAACATTCTATAGTGTAGTTATCTTGTTACCCCTCCCCCCCACAACAAAAAAATCAAACAGCTGAGTTAGTAAACTGGAATGCAAAAGAAATGCAGCAAGACTGAGAGATGCCATATGGGCCTGTAAAGAAAATAAGCAGTCAATGAAGTCTGGAAAAATAAATTAGAGTATACAGAGGAACACTGGGGTCCCAGGAAGAACAATCAGTAAATTGTGCATGGTAATGCTGGATGGTAGGGGCTCAGAAAGAGACAGTAACAGGCAGAATCACACAGCTTTTAGTGAGTAGTTTAATACTAACTTCACCAGATTTGGATCTGTATAGATAGTTAGGAATTATTTTGCTTATCAGAATATGAATTTCTCCACCCTGGAACTGGACTGCTGGCTATAATACAGAGCTCAAAGTGATCTATTTGTTGGACAGTACACGTAATATTTTCTTTGTAGCGTGTCTCCTCTATTTATCACATGAAGAGCCAAATCCTCAGCTGGTGGAAATTGGCATCGCTCCATTGACTGAAGTGAAACAATGAAAACTTGCACCAGTTGAGGATCTACCTTGAAGTCTTTTCTTGTTAGAATTAATTCTGTGCAGTTATATAAACCACATTTTACACTGTGGATGGTTGTGATGGCCATCTAACTACCATTGGAAGGTCAATCAGATGAATAAAAAAATCCTATTGTTTTCTTCCATCTAAGCAGAAACCAGTGTCACCCAACTGACAGACAGACTTTTATTACCCTATTACAATATAAATTCAAAATTTGCCATTAATTCTATTAATGAACATTCTAATTATTGGCACCAGGATTCAAACTGAGATCTCTGGAAACAGGAGGACCTAGTAGGCTGGTGCATGAGTCGATTGAAACACTAATGCCCTGGTACCCATCCTTTCTGAGACTTCCCTCCACCCTCTTTTTGTAATTTCCTTGTTGCTTCAGTGCTTCTAATAAATTATAGTATGTTGTTTTAATAATAGACTATGCAAAGCCACACCATTACAGAGCAATTTCAATGCATTTTTCATTTTTATACTTTTTTTAAAACTCAATTCAAGTGTCAAAATCTAATTACCATAACCTGCAGTGCATGCCAGCTGATTAGGGCTCCATAAAACACACTGCTTTTTTTAATAAGCAAAACTCTTCTTGATGTGGTGGTTCAGCTGGTCTTACAGTGATTTTTCAAGGGGAGGTGCTGTAGATGGGAAACATAACTCAGAATAATATATACTTACCAATTGTTTTAATGCTGTAGGAGCTGACGTGTGAAGACCAAGTGTGCCATCAAGTATTTAAGAAGAAAAAGTAAGCTGACCAGAAAGTCCAACTGGTTTCACATGTGCTATTATGGTTTTTTAAAAGCTATGTAATGACTGCTTGACACTGCCATGTAAGTGCATTTCTGTGCACTGTTAACTAAGACAAACACATCCTTTAACACTAACATGGAAACACTTCTGTATGTTTTAAGGTCTTTTGCCTTTCAATCCAGAGTTAAATAAAAATAATTCTCATTCTTGTAATTATTTCTTTCATTTCTAAAATCCTTGTAATTTTTCCAGAAGCAGGACAATGAGTCCTCTAAGGGCTGGTCCACACTAAACCCCCACTTTGAACTAAGATACGCAACTTCAGCTACATGAATAACGTAGCTGAAGTCGAAGTATCTTAGTTGGAACTTACCGTGGGTCCACACGCGGCAGGCAGGCTCCCCCGTCGACTCCGCGTACTCTTCTCGCGGAGCAGGAGTACCGGCGTCGACGGCGAGCACTTCCGGGATCGATCCCAGAAGATCGATTGCTTACCGCCGGACCCGGAGGTAAGTATAGACGTACCCTAAGAACAATGCGGTAACTAAACAGTCACAGTTATCTCAACAACAGAACATCTCTCTGTGGTGCTGTAATATCATATGTTTGGATGAGTGAGTGCAAATCTGACATTCATTGTACTGCTTCTATTTAATTTAGTTCTGGGTCACTAAGTCTATAGTTTCAGGCAACAGGATGGCTCAACAGATTTGTAATAGGATACACAGCCTTTCACATCTAGGTCACTAATTTGAATTCGGCCCAAGTCCATAGCTACTGAAAATTCTTACCAGCTGACAACTGTTTGATGTGAAATGTGTTGGTGTTTTCTTAGTCCAATCCTAATAGAAAGGTGCCCACAACCCCAAACCAGCTGTGATAATTGACTATCTGTTTAGTAATCTCAGTGGAGAGAACAGAGACTGAACTAATCTCTCAACTCAAGAGCTGGTTAAGCTTGAAGCATATTGACAGGGCTGCATGTGGAAGCCTTGTACAACAATTATGTATGCTGCACCTATTCTGTGTGTAAACAGTCTCCTGTGCTTTCAGTCTTGTACCTTGTATCTTTTACAGGTTTGTTGTTAGTCTGTAGTTTCCAGCTCTTTCTTTGGGTAGCTACAGTTTAATTACCTGTCTGTTTAGGGTTTTCCAAAGGACTTTGTGCTGTTTGCTGGGGACAAGTTTAAATCAACCATGGATGATAAAGGACCATGTTTTCAGTAGATGGAGCCTGAAATCATGGAGTCAAATGTACGCCCATATATGTATCAGTATTAACATGTACAAATCTGATACATATGTATTCAAAGATATTTGGACACCCAGAGTGTCCAGAGTCCACATGCGTGCCGGGAAAATATAGGTGCATGAATTTTTATTATTATTTATTATTAACTGATCTGAGCATCCACTGGTTGAAATTGATGCTGTTATGGCATTCTGTGTGTGATTTCTGATTAAAGATTGATGATTTTCTGGTCTAACATAGCAGTAACTCATCTATTTGTCAAGGTTTGTCCTCAAAGATGAGGCAGTTCCTTAATACTTATTAAGCCCACCTCTGGAACTTCCACCAGAAACAGGTGCTCACTTCCTCTTTCTGGACCCCTGCCAGCTCACTGTTCTTACAGGGGGCCACATGAAATAATTGTACACAACTCACTAAGCTTTCCAAGCACTATAGAAATGACACAATTGCATGAAGAATGCATGTTTTTAATTTTCTGAATAAAGAGTCTCAAATTGGGCACTTACCATGAGAAAAAATGTGCTTTGTACCACAACTTGACATTAGATCATAAAATATGGGGAAAGAAAAATTTGCCTTTCTATATGAAGTTGTCATTGCTTTACAAGTGATAAGCATTGAGTTTTGAGGATGGCTAGGGAACAGCATTGTTCAGCTGAATTCTTATTATGTTACATTCCAGAGTTCTCTTGGTACTAGGTGGGTTTATGGGATGGAAGTGGGTGGCATGTAAATCACTGATACAGTAGGGGAACTTTAAACTTTTGAGACAGGACAGATCAGAAAGAAAACTGGATCAGCTATTTGGGTAATATCACTTTCCTACACACATTCTGGAGTAAATAATTTCAGGCTTTCGCAAATGGGGAAGGAAGGTGTGCCTCAATGTGATCCATGTGGCAAAACCATCCCCTTCTTTCTGCTATTTCTGGGCCCACCATGTACTTTACAATAGGCAAAAACTCTTAATGACCTTTAGAACTGTATGCTCTGCAGTGGAGATAGATGTGGGATGATCTATTGTGTTGTCATATACTTGTTTTGAAAAAATACAGACTAATTTATACAATACACATTAGGGTAGGTTAGTCTTCAAGCTGCGTAAAACCCTCATTTCCTGCTCAGCAGGTGAACTATTTGCATTAAAGGAAAGGGCCTCACATACAAATATAAAACTCATTCAGAATTTCTCAGCCACCTGGTAATGCAGTACTGTTTCAACTGTTTTGAAAAACTGTCCTTCCCATTTCATTCTTTCCACAGAATGAATATCATTTAAGTATGGTTCAGAAAGAGGACCAGCTACAAGCAACCTCCTGGCCCAGGAAACTGACGAGATTGGCCACAAACACTGTAGTTAACTTATTGCCTAGGAGTTAAAGCACAGGTCTGCGCATCAGCAGCATTACCTGCCACTGGAAATAACACCAGTGTGTGAGGATAGTGTTTAGGGTAGGATTTTCAAAAGTGCTCAGCCTTTGCCTAACTTTGCACCTGTTAAAGTCAATGGGCATTTTACTATTGATTTTAATGAGAGCAGTGTTAGATAATGCTGAGGGCTGTAGAAAATCCCACCTTGAGAGTACATCTACACTCCCCCCCCCCCCCGCCAAAAAAATACTAATAATAATGGGGGTAGCAAGTCTCAAGTCCAGGTCAGCTGACTCAGGCTCATGGTGCTATGGGGCTAAAAATAGCAGTGTAGCTGTTCCCACTCTGGCAGGAGCCTGGGCTCTGCCACCCGTCTCCCTTTTCCAGGTTTCGGACCCTGGGCACTAGCCCAAGAGGAAACATCTGTATTGCTATTTTTAGCCCCATAACACAAGCCCTGTGAGCCCAATAAGTTGACCCAGGCTCTGAGACTTGCTGCGCGTTTTGGGTTTGTTTGGGGTTGGTTTGTTTTTTTGCGGTGTAGACATACCCTTAATGCACAATGGCTGCTTCCCAGGTTTCCTCCCCCAGATCCATGGTGATCCAGCCATGTGGTATTTGCAGTGTGGCTTCCATGATCATACTGCAGAGCAACCACTATCTCTGACTTTCCTGCTTGTGGAGCGTTTCTGCCCCACTGTAATTTCATAAACCCCTCTTCACCACACAGGAAAAGGGCCCTAGGGCTGTTAAACAAGCATTTACTTGATGAAGGCTTGATGAAGACAAATAAAGTGGCACTGACAAAGTCATTTAATTACAACATTTGGCTGTGCTCTTTCTAACTGGTGAGCATATAAAGTTAGCCTTGGTGGAGGGAGATTAATAGGAGCAACAGATGCCTTCAGATTTTTAATACAGATTTTTCCCCCCACTAGAACAGGCTTTTTTCAGTTTTAATTTGTGATTGATTCCAAGGGCAGGGGTTGCAGATGTTTTAATTTTGGCTTGCTGATTACACTTGTTATGCAGATGGTGAAGATTAGCTGGAATCGCTTTGTGAAAATGAGATTTAAAAATAATAACAACGAGCCAAGCTTTTTGAGAGCTGCAAAGATTTTGTCAATTATTCTCTGAGTTTCACACTTTCGTTAATTATAACTTGTGCTGCAGTGATTCAGTCATCACTAAGTAAGGGAAAGAGGGCAACAAATGAGAGTGTATGTTGCAGAGCTAGCAGGCCATGAACCTATGGCCTCATTAGCAAGAAAGCCCTCTGACAGGATGTAGGGCCCTGCCTCAGCATATGGACACCAAGAGGTAATACTTACAGCTGCTTACACCCAAACAGCAGAACAAGTGGGAGAAAAAGAGCTGGGCTTTGAGCCAGGGCCTGAGTCTCCTCTGCCTTGAATGCTTGTGCTATTCACACCTCTGCAAAGTAAGTGTGTCAATCTCTACCAGATCAGACTGGCAGGGCTCGATACTCCTCTCATTTACGCTGTCAGGAATAACTGTACTGAAATGTCATAGGTTTAAAACTTGTGTGAGAGGAGGATCAGGCCTATGCTTAATTATCACTCACTGCACAGGGGTACATGTTTACACAAGGTGCAAGTCAGAGGTGAATCAGATCCTGAGGCCTGAGTCAGGAGCTAAGGCCTTGTCTACACTATAAAGATGTACCATTTAACAATACTGTACAAATACCCTAGTGTGGATACAGTTATACTGGAATAATGGTACTTTCTACCAAGATAGCTATAGGCAAGAGAATATGTTACCATAAGGCCCCTTCATACCAGTATAACTGCATCCACACTAAGGATGTACCAATGTAAGAATATTGATTTAAAAAAATATACCCTTAACAGATCAACTGCTAACAAGCAAGTGTAGACCTGGCCTCAGGCCAACCTTTTCTAAAGCCTGTGTGGCTTCAAATAGCCCCTCAGGCTGCTCTCTTGTGACTCAGGTGGGACCTATCAAAGCTGGTGGTTGGCCACATACATGTTTTCAGTAAAGCTTTTAAAGCCTTTCCTCAAGCACAGGCACTGCTGAGAGACCCCACCCTTCCTTAAAGAGCAGTACTTCCAATAAGTCATCTCCTGGACTCAAGCCACTTGAGAACACAATGACCTAAAAGCCTTTACTGTCATTTAACTATGTAATAATCATGCTTATGAATTGTCTGCAGATCTCCTGACACCAGTGGGATTTTGGAGCATATAGCAGAAGCCTATGACCCTTAGGTTCCTAAAACTTACAGCAAAAGTCTGCCTAACAAACTGAGGTGACAGGTGGGTCTGGGCCCACCCAAAACAAAAGAGCCCCCCTCAATTAAGTGGGAGGAACCATTGATCCCAGGCAATAATTTATTATGAGGACAAAGAAGGGGAAAAAACCAGGAGCAGGTGTGGGGTCAGAGGTTGAAAATCAGGGATATGGAGGAGGACACCATGCAGAAAGCATCCAACTGTCCCCAAAGGTTTCCAGGGAGGATGTGATTGTACAAGGGATTGGAAATAGGCTTTGCAGTTGTAGGGCACCCACCCATCCATCTTCCTCCTCCTGATATGATGGATGGCTC